AGTACTCGATGGAGAGAAAGTCGACTAAACGGCGTTTAAACCGGCCGTAGGACACAGAGTGGCTATGGACTGAAGGTAAGGGAGCTTTTTGAATCAATATTTCGCGTGATCATGACTTTTTTTTTCCTTAGCGTTGTAGATTCGAATACATGTGACAAAATTCGAACATTAAGGGCCCGAATCACATGTAATATTGCAAGAAATATCGACCTTCGTTATCTTAAAGGCTACTAGTACAGATAGACAAACAAGAAGACTTCATATCTTTAAGATTTTTGCGTTTATTTAGCATCAGATAATACACTAATAATTCTAGTATATTCCGACCAAATGACCTCTGAAGCCCGAACCCACACATAGTGCGCTTGGGCTGCCTGTGGTTCTGAAAAGTATCATCTCCCAACGGCTTGTCGGTTTTACTCGCCAGAAGAAAGAAAGGAAAAATCATGCTGCCTGTGTGCTTGTTATCTGCTGTTTGATCCGCGTTATCAACGGCAAGATAATTGAAGACGAAGCGATCTATAACTTTGGGCGATTTTTGGTTCAAGGACTTCTTCTTGCCGGTTATAAAACCGCCAGGAACTTACTTTTGCCTTCTTGCAGATCTTCGAAGTTCAGCTCTTCTTTCCCCGCCACCAGCGTTCTTTTGTGTGCTCCGCTGGATCCAATTCAGTCCTGATAGAAATTCAAAGAGTGCGTGACGGCAAAGTGTTTTAATGTTTCTTAGAAAAACATTGCATTGAAAGTTGCGAAGAGCCGCTACATTTCTTATTAAATAGTTTTCCAACCCGATTCCTTCAGCAACAACTTGAATAGATTTATGCTGGATTTTATGTAACTCGGTACGCGTCGTTGTTTTTTATACCGCAACGGAAAGTTCCTTGTTTGCTCTCAGGCGTTTACGTAAATTACGAAAGAGGAAACCATTCCCCCCACCACGTTGAAACTCGAGTTAAAGACCGCAAACGTTACCTTACTTTGTAGGCTCGTGGTTTTCGACCGTAAGCGGTTAGAAGTTTCCGACGGAAAGCCTGTTTACACGAAACTTTCTGTCAGTTCTGGTGTAAAACTTTTGCGGAGTAACAGTAGCACGGCAAACAATGCTTGCGATAAGCATGTGTCTACACTGAATTTGGGGTGATTTGGAGAGGAGACCACACGTAGATCGAGCTTACTTGTTATGTTGTTTATTGTTAAACTTTGATTTCGCCTCAGTCGACAATCGTTGTAAAATATGCATTGGCCGTAAGGCTTTGCGGTTATCACTTTTTACGTGTTATTATGTTATGGACAAAGTTCGGGATCTTCCTTTTTATCTTTTACCTGGCAAAAACTCAAGACTACTCCTCAAGTCCACATTCCAAAACTGTAAGTACCGCTGAATGTCTTTAGTTACTATTATGTAATGCACCTATCAATGTAAACCCCGTGGGGGGGGAGTGCGGGCAAGGGGTGGGGATTTGACAAATTTTAAAATTTTTGGATCAAATTCCCCAGGGTGGGAAACGAAAGGTCAATCAAAAGTGTCAAAAAAGCCCCCACCCCAGGGGAAAAATCTAAACAAACAATACTGTAATACTATATAAAACGAATGAAAGAACATTTCAAAAGTAAGTTCTTACTACTTTTATCTAAGGTTAACGTAAGCTCCGTTAAATTACTCGCTGTAATTAAGTATTTTCTGTCTCCACTAGCATCTCTTATTTTGAACAACATAATCACTCCAAGAAGATTGACCGTGCTATTATATTAATGAAACGTAAAATGCTTTATAACATCGGCTCAACATGTCGGAATAGGTCGGATCAGTGACCTGCAAAAAATCCTCTGACTTTCATGGTAGAATTCGATCTCAATCGAGGTTTACAATCAGATGGGAACTTGAAGATAAAAACTTTTTCAAAATAGACATTATCTGTTTAGATGACAGTGTAAAGTATCGGATTATGGCGATTAAAAGAAATGAAAACTTCATAACTTTCTCCAACAGCATGACTTTCAGAAAGCCTCGAGGGACGGACTTGGTTATCGATTCTGAATTGATACCAGGCTTTTATCGGTCAAAGTCAAATGTCCCGACCCCGGGGTCGCTGCGCACGATCAAAAGCCCGACAGGGGGGAAGTCTCAGGCATCAAATCCCCTCCCCTTGCC